GTGCTGAATAAAGGCCAGGTCTCGGCTGCTCGAGCTCAGCTTGAAGGGTCGTGAGAACAGTGTGGCTCACCTGCCTGGCGCTCCGGTCCTGCTGCTGGAGGTCTCGCTGGAACGCCACCACATCCACAAAGAGAGTCTTGGAGAAGTGGTCTAAGGCGTAGGTGGCCGCCAGGTACGGGAGCAGACGCCATTGCTAGGATCAACAGACGTTTGGTAACACGTCACACGTCCTCAGGAAGGCCTGCCTCCTCACACAGAGGCGCAAAGGCCAGGTGAGGGCGTGTGGCAGCGGGGAGCAAGGGCAGACAGCGACAACCCCCAGCCCCCACACCACGCCAGGGCCACATGCTCCTTCCGCATGCTCACGGAGTCTTCGCCCTAAACGCACCCCAGATCAGCTACCTCGGCGGCTCGACTGCAGGGTTGCCGTCCCCCAGCACCCTCAGACCGGCCTGTGCCCCATGCACCTCCCCTCCCAGCCCAGCACTGCCTCCTGAAGGACAGCCGGCACCAAGTGGCCACGGGGCCCAGAAACCAGGAGCCTCCCGACGACCAGCTCAGGGCCTGGCTCTCGGACCGGGCAGCCACAGCACCATGTCGTGAGCCGGCAGGGACGGAGCAGCCATCCCCTGGACCCGTGAGGAAGTGGAGCTCATGGGGAGACGGAAGCACCTCGAAAGACACACCCAGTGCCTGACGCACAGGAAGGGGTGATGGAGGTGGGGGGATGGAGGGTGGGTGCGTGGTGGGTGGGTGAGTGGGTGGATGGGTGGGTGGGTGGACAAATGGTGGGTGGATGGAGGCATGGGGGATGGCTGAGTGTCTGGACGGGTAGATGGAGGGAAGGATGAAGGGAGGGACAGAGAGAGGAGGATGACGGGTGGAGGGTAGTGGAAGGGAGGACAGAAGGCAGGGCGAGGCATGGACAAGCAGAGGCGACGGATGAGGGCTGGGTGGTGAGACAAACGGGAGGGACGAGGAGTAGGCCTGCGAGGCCCCTGGGAAACCCTCACAGCCACATCTGACACCTCCTG